ATGGCAACTGACATAAAAATCCCCAAAGACTACCTACTGGGACGATTGGTCAGCTACGAGTTCCATGACTTGGAACTCTTGGGCCAATTATGGCCTCACCCTACATGCAACGACACCAGAGGGGAGCTTAGAAAACACAGACTATACTATTCCATTCCAGCTCGCCACACTCACGTCTGTCTTACCAGTAAACAAAGAACCGGTAGGCAGAAGTGAGCTCACAGAGGACTAACTCCTTGCCGTGTGCCCAGCCACTTGTCACCCCATCACTAACATGGATGAAGACAGGGCATTTTCCTCAACAGGACGGATATGCTGAGGCCACGCAGGATGATGTCAACCGACAAACGTCAGCACATCCTGTATGACTACAACGGTGTCCTCGCTAAAGACTCTCTAGACTGCAAGTCCCACTGACCTTCAGATGGAAATAACCAACTCCATGCTGGGAAAAGGACATCGGGCTATGCAACAAAACCTGCTCGGCACCGATCTGGCCCGTCCTCAAACCCAGGGTCAAAGGGTGCCCGACCATAGAAAGCTAAATCAGCAAATGCGTTGTCACGAGGGCCAATGACACCACTGGAACAGGAAGTGCCCAGAACTCAAGGACCAACCATCTACTCAACGCTTGATGTAGTCCCCGCCTTCGGGACAATACCTGTGCATCCAAATGACCAGCATAAGCTAGCTTTCACCTTGAACAACAGACACTAAACGATCATGAGGTGCCCCGTCGGCTAGGCCAACTCACCAGCCGAAAGCAACACCCTCCTGAACAAAGCATATCCAGATGCTTATGTTAGAGGCAACCTCATCTACGTTGAAGACATCCTTAATGAAAGTACCACCGTGTCTGGCCACTCAAAGGAGATAGACCATGGCCTACAACAGTTGACTGTGGCTAGCGCAAAGACTACCGCCTAGCAAGGTCTCTGAACTGAGCGGCTCCCTAAGGGGGTGCAACTACTCCAGACACGTCATTAAGAACTGTTCAAAGACTTCTCGACCCGTGACCACCCTGTCAAAAAGGCTGTCCTTCTGTTTGACGGAAGGTCAACAGCTGGCCACGATTGAAGTGAGATAACGTCTGGGCATATGCAAGTAAGACACTCCTTGCGCCAGAAGGCAAATACTAAGACTGTGTAACAACATCGCTCTGCACGGTGGGTGCCATTTCAACAGCTATTCTCCAACTTCTTTGGAGCACAGAAGCCATCATAGACACCTGCCACCAACCTGTCATGTTACTGAACAGTCAGCACATCCGGGATGGCATAAAGACTAACGCCAGTACAGCCATGCGGCCGATGGCCCCCTAGGGCCACTGTATTGACACTTGTTACACCTTAAGCCACAAATCCACGCTGGGTAACAGCATAGCTGTTTACCAAGACTGTACAACTGACAGACAATTGGCAACGCTGTAAAGGAGGAACCCCAGCTACCTCTGCCAACCTGTCATTCAAGTACTCCCAAGTACTGGGATGAGAATGCGTGCCAAGGTATGCCCACAACCTGTGTCGATGGATGCTCCCACAACCACCGCAGTATGCAGAAATGGCAGCCACCATTGTAACCCTTCAAAGCACAGCAGCCCATGACATCAGAGTGCACTTAGCTGCAGACTCCAACTTGCTAGACTCTGTTTCACGTTCCACCTCCCAGGGGGGAAGCAAAAGGCTTCAGAACTGCCCACCACAAGCCCGTGAAACGTCAACACTTTTTCTTCTTCCCAACTAGGCAACCACAACACTGACAACCACATCATGGTCGTCTACAGAAGAAGATGAGAACAGTTCAAACTTTCAGGCACTGACAAGGACCTGAATGACTGGACCGGTGCCCTTACCAAGAAGGTGCATCACACGGTGGACCATGGTCACCACCCAACCAAAACCCCGAGATCTGGCAGCTGTAACCGGCAGCCAACAACCCTGCCTAGCCTAGCTGCCACATCCAATCTCACCAGCCCGACAAATGTCGCAAACGACATTGCGACCACGTAGGCATCTGACTCCTCTCGTCAGACCAGTTTTCTTTTTTTTTCTTTTACTTTGTCTCTTGTTTTGTTAGTTTTCCACCACTCACCCCACCTACCACCCGATCCTGCTGTCTGACCTCAGCTTCAACACAGATGTCACTCAACACCTCCTACATCTTAAAAAAAAACAGGTGCGTGTGAATCCTTTTTGGGTTGTCCCTGAAGACCCCACGACACAACAGTTCGTGCTGCCTCAGAGCCAGAGGGGGGTAATGCTAATGTACTGACCCTGCACACAGCAAAACATGCCCAGGGCGCTGATTCACTGAGCACCACAGCAACAGAGAAACCATACTCTCATGATCAGACGCCCAGATGGATCGGGCGGGACACTTCCATGGGCTCACAAGGAGCAACAATTTTTTTTTTGTGTTTTTCTCTCCTTCGCTTTCTCTTCCCTTTGAACTCATATGCCAGTACACCAAATGGGTAGAGTGTCTCTCAGCACCGACGACACAGCCCAGACCATGGCATATCTTCTGATGATGTAAACAACTTGGACAGAGGCACCCACCCTGCACTACCAACATCACACAGGAAGGGCAAAGACTCCTGGTTGTATACGCTTAGCTGCATAGCAGCCAACCCTCAAACCTACGTATCACAACCAGAGTAACAAAGACTGGGCCACAAGCCAGGAAAGGGGGTAGAGACCCTGCAACCTGTGTCACCGTGGAATGCCCAGCCAAGCACAGTCATCACAGACACCACCTACTCTCTCCCCTGTTCCCTCTCTCTCTCTCTTCCTTTTCTACACAGGATACAGCCACGATCCTGTACCTGAGTCTCACCAGAAGACCACTGCAACCTCACAACTATACTCCTCTATCACTCATCTCTGGAAAACTGCGGAACAACTACCACTCCGTGCCTCCCGACAACAGGGAAGCACACATTAACAAGGGCCTCGCCATTCAATAAGATGCAAGCACCAGTGGACAAGTGCACCCCTGACCTCCCCCTCAAAGCTTTCCTGCGTGAAACCAGGAAAGGGGGGGAAAGAGCATGAAGAAACTAAGTCAAAACTGCTTGAGTCTAAGCCACGACTCGTCGACCCAGCAACGGAGGTCGAAGGAAACTCACCTCCAACCCATCCTGTACGTCAAGTTAGATTTCAACCAACAAGGTTTTCTCCGAACCTTCTTCGTTGCAAAGGGGGGATATATGTAGCGTACAGTCCACAGATTAAACTTCTTATTGATTTCATCACGGTCTGGCTTTGGTCAGAAGGTTTTACGACTCCTGGCTCCAAGAAGTCTGGATTTTCGTGACAGCTTAAGTTGTTCAGGGGAACTGGAGAGATAAGCAGGAGAGCTTCAAAGACATTCCTGCCCAAATACGCTCACACACACACACACACACACCCACGAGGCTGTTCCGACAGAAAGAAAATGAACTCATCAAATCCAGAACCAGCACAAAACCAATGTGTTATGTTTTGTAAACTTTGTATCTAATTTCTGACTTTTCTTACCTGTGTAACCTCTCTTATAACCTGTATGCATGTTCCATTTAGGCCTTTGTAAAGCATAAATATTGTAAGGATATGAAAAATTAGGTTAATGTACTTTCAACCCCCCCCCCATGTTTGGTACCGATGGGTTTCTGCTGACATTTTACAGCACATGATGCATAGAGAAAAATCATAACTAGCATTGCCTTATTCTTTAATCCCCTGTATTAAATGCCTGTCCGCATGCTTTGGGCGGACACTCAAATTTGCATACGAGGGACCTCGAGACAAAGAAAGGGTTCGCACGCAAACTTTCCCCTGAAATCATTGGTCAGAATGCTGTACGGGTTGTCACGTGATCCGCAGGTATAAGCACACTTCCCCCCAAACATCTGGGCAGAAAGAGAACGTCCCAAAAAGGAACATCATTGACGGTGGCCCTCGGGCCACACACGTGGCTTTCTAAGCCGCATGGACTTTTTTCCCGCCACGCTTTCTTTATTTTCCGGCAAAGTAAATTCAGTTTAAAGTTTGCGATCGTGTTCGTCCGAACTGCATTACAAACTCCACGCATCAAAGGACATCAAGAGTAGTTTTCATCACGACGGAAGAGAGACGCATAAGAGAGACCGCCAGACATGAAAGACCAGGTGATTTTAGTTATGCGATTAAGCTGTGCCCCTTTTATCAAAAAGGTGTTTTTTATAACCTTGGTGGTCCGTTATGGTGCGTGTGGAACTGAAAGTTTTGTCACTCTTTAATCTAAAATCTCTATCTCCTCGCTTTACTATTTCTCTTTGCTGTTACACGTTCTATAGACCCGATATCTCCACGTGGTTTACCTTTGTTTTGTGTTTAATGTATGTTTGTGCGTTTGTTTGTTCGTTACGTCTGACTAGTCAATAAATTCCATTATAATCAAATGAATTGAATTGTTTGCCTCACGAGAAAATGTCACTAAAATACAGATTCCCCTGCCTTGCTATTAAAAGTTGTTTAAAACTTTTGAATGATTAATCTACTTCACAAGAAGTAGCAATTAAATTCCCTTTTTCTAAATGAATAGATTACCGTGTCCGCTCGGAAGAGCGGCAGCTCTGCTTGTGTTTGTTTGGTCAAATTAACAATAAATTGATCTGGAATATTAATGATTAATAATAATTCGTTATTGTTTATAATTAATATTCATAATCTGGGAATCCGCTCGGTCGCGCGAGCATGATCATTTACAATCATATGTTTGTTTGACCAAACTGACTGAAGCTTAAGCCGGAATATTAATAATTAAGAATAAACCGTTATTGTTGATTATTAATATTCATAAAATGAGCTAATTTCATGCTACAAAACACATTTGAATATTACTAGTTTTGACATACATTTGTATTTATTTAGGCTAGTGAAATAAAATTTTCTTGCACTGAAGTTACTTGATATATTATTATTAGCAGTTCACTGCCATTGTATATAATGTATTGAATAGGATCTTTTTGTTCTTTTCAGAAGACTTTCTAAACTTTCAAAAGAAAGACTTTTAGAAGACTTTCTTAAGGTAAGCATGCAAAACTTAATTGTTCTTGTTAAAAATGTAGGCCTTGTACATTTTAGAGGACGCAGTGATAATTGTAGAAGCTTTGATTTGACATAGAATTATGTGAATGTCAATTCAATACTAAGTTCACTGTTTGTGTTCAGGTGTGTGCAATTTTGACTTTTAATGTTCTGAATTATTCAGCAGTGTAACTAATGTTTTTAAATTGTAATTAATGTTGTTTTTTCCTGAATAGTCAAGATGTATAGTAAATTGTGTTCTTTTTAGGGGGACAAATATCATGTGATTATAAATGTGATTAAAATGTACATCAATACGATGAGATTTGTAAATTTATAGTTTTATATGAGTAATTTAGGAGTCTGTTTAATGGCTGCTTAGTTTTTTGACTGCTTTTAAAAACATTTTTGTAAATGTACAAATGTATATGCATGCTTAAAATAGATTAAACTGATTATAATATATAACATTATAATAGAATAAACTATTATATTAATTCTAATCAATTCATTTTTATTATGAAAAAACTGTCAAAGTATTTAGATAAAATATATATTTTTTCATATTCCACATCCCTAATGTACATGCAATTTTTTTATTTTTTTTATTCAGGTATTAAAATGGTTTTCATATCAGGTGTTCCAAAATGTACATCAATACAATAAGATTTGTGAATTTATAGTTTTAGATTAGTAATTTAGGAGTTTGTTTAATGGCTGCTTATTGTTTGAGTGCTTTAAAACATTTTTCTAATGCAAATTTTTGAATGAATTACACAGAATGTGTTTTATGACATTTTTGGCTGCTGTGAATTTTTGCTGCATTATATATTAAATGTATTTGACAAGATTATGTCTCTGTGTGTTTTCATGTAATATAGATGCCACGTGGAAAAGGATACCGCCGTTCCCAGGCAGCAAAGAGGAGGAATGCTGAGCGGATTACACTCACTTCCCCCTTGGACCTGGCAGAGGTTAAGCCTCCTCTCAAAAAAAAGGCTGAGTTCATCGAGAGCTCATCAAACAATCCAGAGATCTACCAGACTGCAGATACTTCTTTAAACTGCTGCATGGATCCAAATACTTCTCCAAACTGCCGCAAGGCTCCAAATACTTCTCCAAACTGCCGCAAGGCTCTAAATACTTCTCCAAACTGCCGCAAGGCTCCAAATACTTCTCCAAACTGCCGCAAGGCTCCAAATACTTCTCCAATCTGCCGCAAGGCTCCAAATACTTCTCCAATCTGCCGCAAGGCTCCAAATGTTTCCAATGATGTTAATCAATGTTTCAATGTTAATAACTCTGATTATTTTCCACAGAAATTTATACAGGGTTCTTTCCATCAATGTGATGAGCGATTTGGTTTCAACAGAAACAGACAATGTGCGGTGAACAGCATTACAGCAGTTATGATGAGTGTGTTGAAGCATGTGCAGACATGGACAACAGATGACTTAAATGCTGTTTTGTTGCATGGTGATAAGTTATACACATCTATGTGCCAGCAGGGGAAGATTAATGACCATTTACAGCGAGGATATGTTTCTGTTGCAGAACTACCAACAGTGCACACACTATATGATACAAATTTGTCAATTAAGTATTCTGAATCTCTGAGTGGTGTTGTTGGTGTTGATGTGTATGATGACTCATTGCGTGATGTTTGCATGTCAATTGAAGAAGCACTACAAAGAGCTTTGGTTCAGTCTGATGCCTGTTTGTTAAACATTCGAGACAACATTTGTGCTGTCATAAAAGTGGAGTCAGAATTTGCTGTTGTTGATTCACATTCTCGTAATGGTAAAGGTATGGCAGAATATGATAATGGAAGAAGCATAGTAGTTTATTGTTCTGACATACACATGTTGTTTGCTCATGTTGTTAACCTTGCCATGTCACTGAATGCTCAGGGAACACCTTTTGAAGTGACCGGTCTGAAAGCCACTATAATCAGTAAGTCTACATGTGCTGCAAGAGGTTATAATCCTGGTCAACAGTGTATCATCACACATGTTTCGCCTGCAGAGTCCGATGTACAATGTTGTATTGTGGATAGCGTAAAACAAAGAGATTTAAACAAACCAGCATTTCTTGAAAAAGTGATTCAAATGCAGTCAGATTCTACTAAGAAATTACAGCAGATTGAGTCAAAACTTACACATGTGAGCAAGTTTCCTGGTAATATTTTGATGGGTGATGTGATCATTGGCAATACAGAAAATACTCCATTCAATTTCAAACCATTAACATGGGAAGAGCAAAATGCTTTGTGTCAACGTTTACACCTTATTAATGAAAGAGTTCATGTTCAAGTTGCAAACATGTGCTCTTTAGGTGTTCCATGCAAAACAAAATCTATTAAAGGAGATGGCAATTGCTTGTTCAGGTCAATTGCGGATGCATTGTGCGGTAATCAGGAGAAGCACCTTATAATTAGGCGTGCTGTTGTGAAACACCTTGAAGCTAATAGTTCAAAATTTTTGAGATACATAGGAGAAGAGTACAGATCAGTGAAAGATTATTTGACACTGTCAAAGATGTATTATTCTGGATCGTGGGGTAGTCATGTGGAATTGTTTTGTGCAGCCAATCTTTTAAAAATAAATTTAATGACCTTTAATGTTGACAGGTGGAATGCATATGTCCCCAATAATGAGTTGTTTACAGAGAATTCCATCTATTTAAAGCACTGCAATGGTAATCACTATGAAGTTGTTACATGTGTTAAAAATGGAAGTCAAGAAAATGTTTGTGCAGAAGCATGCAACATTGGTGTTTATCATCAGAGCATAACCTGCTCTTTGCGGAAAAGGAAATTAAATTACACTCCAGCTCAATGTAAATGACAAAAAGAACACAACCGGTACCACAGCGACAGCTGCTTCAGACAAAAAAAAAATAGAGAACTTAAAATTTAAATATTGTGAAGACAGTAATTACAAACAGAGAAAGATTCAAAACACCAAAACAAAATATTGTGAAGACAGTGATTACAGGCAGAGACGGATTGACAATTCTAAAACAAAATATTGTGAAGACAGTGATTACAGGCAGAAAAAGATTGACAAGTCTAAAATAAAATATTGTGAAGACAGTGATTACAGGCAGAGAAAGATTGACAAGTCTAAAATTAAATACAATGAAGATGGTGATTATAAGGAGAAAAAACTACACAATCTACAATGTAAATATAGGAATGATACTAAATTACAACAGGTAAAATGTGAAAATTCAAAGAGAAAGTATTGCAGAAATGTTAGTTTTCAAACGTTTGTTCGGCAGTATTCCCAGACCAAGTATAAAAGCAATAAAGTCTTTAGAGAAAGTGTATGTGAATATTCAAAGAATAAATATCACAGGAATCCCACTTTTAAAGCCAGTGTATGTGAGTATTCAAAGAATAAATATCACAAAAATCCTTCATTTAAAGCCAAAGTATGTGACTATTCGAAGAACAAATATCACAAAAATCCTTCATTTAAAGCCAGAGTATGTGACTATTCGAAGAATAAATATCACAAAAATCCTTCATTTAAAGCCAGAGTATGTGACTATTCGAAGAATAAATATCACAAAAATCCTTCATTTAAAGCCAGAGTATGTGACTATTCGAAGAATAAATATCACAAAAATCCTTTATTTAAAGCCAGTGTATGTGACTATTCGAAGAATAAATATAAAAAAAAAATCCTTCATTTAAAGCCAGAGTATGTGACTATTCGAAGAATAAATATCACAAAAATCCTTCATTTAAAGCCAGTGTATGCGAGTATTCGAAGAATAAATATCATCTAAATTCTTCATTTAAAGCCAGAGTATGCAGGTATTCGAAGAATAAATATCACCTAAATCCTTCATTTAAAGCCAGAGTATGTGAGTACTCAAAGAATAAGTATCGCAGAAACATGAATTTCAAAGCAAAGGTTTGTGCATACTCTAAAAAGAAATATCATGAGGATGAAATGTTTCGTATGAGAAAAATAAAGAAAAGATCTGAAGATTATGTAAAACAAAGGGAAAGGCAAAAAGACATTGATTTTGCCATTAATAACTTTTGCCATGAAGTTAGTTCAGGTCCAGAATTGGTTTGCTGTGTTTGTCATCGTTTGTTGTTCAGAAAACAAGTTCTTGAATGCAGAAAAGACTGCTATGATATAAGAGGTCAACAGATAAGTGATTTGGCTGAAACATGCATTACCACAAAGTATTTACATATATGCAGCAGTGAATGTGAAAATCTATGCCATTTATCAGGTTATGCAGCTTCTAAATTGTGGATTTGCTATACATGTCATCGTAAAATACTTGGCGGAAAATTGCCTGAAGAGAGTATTGCCAATAACATGCATTTGGTAGATATTCCAAAAGAACTAAAAGGTCTGAACTCATTGGAAGGACATCTTATTGCACTCAACATTCCATTTATGAAACTGCTTTGTCTTCCCCGTGGAAAACAAAAAGGATGTCATGGTCCTGTTGTTTGTGTTCCGGTTAACACCACAGATGTGTCAAATATACTTCCACGTAATGAATGTGATGACCACATGATAAGAATTAAACTGAAAAGAAAATTAACATATAAAGGCCATTATGAATATAAATATGTCAACACTGATCATGTTAGGCATGCACTATCTTATTTGGTGAGACACAATAAGTGGTATAAGGATGTGGAGTTTAATGAGCAGTGGGTAAACTCTATGAATGAAACTGATGATTTAGACAAGGATGCTAATGACTTTGTAGTTGATGAACACCATGAAACAGACAAAAATGAAGATGACAAAGAGGAGGATATAACATATATTAAAGAACAAAGTGGTCTTTTGTCAGACACATGCCTGCAACCTGTAGATCTGGGTTCAGAAATAATTGATCAACACTTTCATGATGTACTCAACATAGCACCAAGTGAAGGTAACAGTCCAGTTAGATTGCTGTCTGATAAAGCTAATGAGGCAAAGTGCTTCCCTATTCTCTATCCTACTGGTGGTCCTACATTTCATGATGAAAGACAAGAAAAAATCACACTGTCACGATACCTGAATGCACAAATACTAAATGCAGATGGACGTTTTGCACAAAGCACAGATTTTATATTTTATGCACAATATTTATCAGAAGTTGATCAAATTGTTTCTAATGTCTCAATTGCAATGAGGAAAGGTTCTGAGCAAGATTGCTTAAATGTAACATCAAACATGCTTACAAATTGTGATTCCTTACAAAAAATATTACATTATGATGAAGGATATAAGTTCTTAAGACCAGTCAGAGGAACCCCTCCATATTGGATGTCTACGCAAAAAGATCTGTTTGCCCTTATTCGACAGCTTGGAATAACCTCTTTCTTTGCATCTTTTAGTTCTGCTGATCTAAGATGGCCTGAAATGATTAACACTATTCTTAAAAAAGAAGGGAAACAAATAAATGCTGATGACCTTGATTGGTCTGAGAAATGTGGACTCATAAGACGAAATCCTGTCACTGCAGCAAGGATGTTTGATCACAGATGGCATTGCTTTCTTAAAAATGTTATTATGTCACCGGCAAACCCTATTGGCAAGATAAAAGACTACTTTTATCGGGTTGAATTTCAACAGCGTGGTTCTCCTCATGTTCACTGTCTGTTTTGGGTGGAAAATGCACCAAAGCTCAATGATCATGATTCAAATAATGACCATGTGGTTGCTGACTTTATTGATACTTACATCACTTGTGAGACACCTACAGAAAGTGACAATGTACTATATGAAACAGTGAACAGTGTTCAGAAACACAGTACAAGACATTCAAAAACATGTCGGAAGAAAAATACAATTTGCAGATTCAATTTTCCAAGACCACCATCTAGTCGTACTTTTATTACAAGAACCTATAATGCAGATAATCTAAAAGGGAAGGAAGGAGAATCATTGGCAAATAAAATAATAAAGAAAGTCAAAGGTGGTATGAATTCTGGTGTAAATTTTAATTCAGTTGATGCATTTTTTTCATCTATTGGAATTAATCAAACAATGTTTGAACAAGCATACAACAAATGTTCCAAAAAGAAAACTATCGTTTTGAAAAGAAATCCATTTTGAAAAGATGTTTGGGTAAACCAGTACAACAGAGATTTACTGCAAGCTTGGCAAGGGAATATGGATATTCAGTATATCACAGATGCTTATTCTGTAGTGGTATATATACTTACTTACATCACAAAAGCTGAACAGGAAATGGGACTGCTCCTTCAGCGTGCACAAAATGAAGCACTAAATGGAAATCTCGAAGCTAAAACGTCATTAAAACGGTTGGGAACTATCTATCTACACAATAGAGAAATTTCAGCTCAAGAGTCAGTGTACAGACTAACAGGAATGCATTTAAAGGAATGTTCCCGTAAAGTACAATTTATTCCAATTGGGCAAAATCCTGTAAAGATGAGTTTGCCTTTGCATCTTCTTCGAAATCAAGCAGAAAATGACCAGTCTGGTGATAAAAGCAGTTTCAGGATGAGCAATGTCATTGATAGATATAAGAATAGACCACAGAAAGAGCCACTGAAAGATCTATGTCTTGCTAGTTTTTGTTCAGAGTACAGAATTCTGACTAAATCAGAGGTTATGTCACAAAACAAAAAAGCTGAAAATAAAATAATTAAACTTAATAACCAAAATGGTTATGTAAAACGAAGGACACGTACTGAACCTGCAGTAGTAAGGTATCCAAGATTTTCACCAACAAAAGATGCAGAAAAATATTATCATTCATTATTACAGCTTTTCTTACCTCATTATGATGACTCTGATTTAAAGCCGATTAAGTATGACACATATGAGGAGTTCTATAATACTGGTATCATACAATATAGTTCTGAAATGAAAGAAGTCAAGTACATTGTGGATGAAAACAGAGAATTATTTGAAAAGGAAAGTGATC